TATTAGAGGAAAAAGGACAATGTTTTGATCAGCAAAAAAATCTGTACTGCAAGAAATGCTAAAAGTTTTTCAGACCAAAAGGAAATACTAGGTAGAAACTTGGATCTTCAGGAAGAATGAAGAGCATCTGATTACTATTCTCTTAAACTGTGGAAGATACTTTAGAGCTGGAAGTGATCTTGTAATTTATGTAATCAAACCCTCAAATGCTAAGAGTTAAATGAAAGGATCTGGATGTTCAATACCATAAAAATAAAAACAAAAACAGATTGTGCTATGTTGCTTGTAATGAATATAGCTGTGATACAGATCACAGCTGTATGGTAAAAGTTGGAGGTGATGTTAAATGTGTTAATAGGTTGCAAGGTTTCCACTTTTATACTTAAATTGATACTTTGAGAAGTTTAGGGTGTATATATGGCAAATCTTGACCTTTCCATTTACTGAATGTGCCATTTTAGGCAGGGTATTTAGCATTTTTAGACTCACTTTCACATCTATAAAATGGGCATTGTGATCTTTATCTCACAGTTGCTGAGAGTCTTAAATCTAGATATGTTCCATTAATCTATGGTATACATTGAGCAAAGGTCTTTTCTTTTCTTTCTATTCATCTAAAAATCCTTGGTGTTCTTCAAGGGGCTTACCCTCTCTCATTCTAGGCGCCATGATTCTTTCCTGTTTACCAAACTGTCAGCGCTGCTGCCCTTTCCAGGCCGCTGTCTTGTATCAGGTGTGTGTCCGGTTGCTTTGTGTGTCTATCCTGTCTCGTCTGCTAACCACTCCCTGGCTTGCTTCTCAAGGGCTCAGAGCGTAGCTTTGAGTGTTCCTCTGCCTATGTGTACCAGTGTTGTTGTGTGTAGTTACTTGTGTGTCTGTCCCCTGGTGAGAAGGGCAGCAACAGCTTCTGTATTACTCCTATTTTGTCTCTGTATGGAAGGGGCTAAACAATAATTGATGAATGAATGAAAGAATGGACATTACCTGTTTTTCACCGCTCTTTTCACTCAGCACTATCTAATAAATGCATGGATTTATCATTACTTTTACCCACTGCCAGACGTGCTGGACTTGTCCAAACAAACAGATGCAATGGATAAGCCCAGCCCAGAGCTGTTGCAGGATATTACTCTGGAAACACATTGGTCTCAAAGACAGGGACCCTTTCTCTACTCTGGGTGCTCTCTCAGCTATTCTGTTAAACTGTGGAAGATACTTTAGAGCTGGAAGTGATCTTGTATTTTGTGTAATCAAACCCTCAAATGCTAAAAGTTAGATGAAAGGATCTGGATGTTCAGTACCAATTGGGATTAGTTAGAGAGATTGCCTTCATGGAGGAGGTAATAGCAGAGTGGGGAGAGATGTGGGTTGTCAAAAGAGAGGATGGAACATTCCAAGGGTGTCAAGTAACATGAGCTAGGGAGTGGAGATGGCTGTAGATACGTGCTGCAGGGGAGCGCACTGTGGGGTGTTGGCTGTTCACCAAGACTATCCCATGACATGAAGAGGACAAGATGGCTAGTAGACAAATTGGAAACCATAACCATTCCCTCTCTACTCTGTCCTTTGCAACACCCTTATCTCATTCTTGTTTTGGTTCTGTCCTCCCTTTTCTTTTATCTAGGCCAAAGACAGGCTCAAACCCTGATTTAAAAATGAAATCCAAATGACACATTTGGAACCCTGTATTTCAGTCCGGAAATATTGGTTTTGCACTGTGATTGGTGCAGATAGCAGCCAGCTGTGATGGCCCAGAACCCAGGAGGGATCTTTGGCACAGCCTCAGCCTGATATTTCCATATCTTCAAATCAATCCAAGCTACTCATTAGGAGGCCTTGTTTTAGCAAGCAGTTTGCTGCACATGGGACCATACTGGGGTCGCTACAGCCCTCCCTGTGGGGCTGCTCATCATTCCCTCTCCACTCCTGCCTTCGTCACATTTCTGGATCCTGGAAGACAGCTGAGGAGTCCAGCCTCCTTACTTTCTCTCCAGGAGAGCCAGATACCCTTCTTGCCCTCAAGAGGTCCCTATCCTATTTTCCTAACCCAGATCATCCCCTATTTTCCTTACCTAGTATGTGTACAAAGGGTTCGTTCAAGCCTTCCCTTGGCTAACATGCATCAGGATGCATTTACATTTAAAATAATTGTTTAATGTATTCTAAAAAGTTTAAAAGCAAAAGTGTCCATCAGCAGGCATTACTTTTTGCTAATGATACCAGTGAGTACTTTCTCTGGGTGAAACTGTTTATTCAGAAGATCTTGGTTCTTTCTTTCCAAGTAACTCTCATTCACTTCTCTCATCACATAAAGGAAAAAAGAAATGTAGCTGCCCCCAGTGACTCCTTTCTTGGGTTCCAAGTCCCCTGGAAGACGTGCAGTTGAGTACTGGTGATCTGTGAGACGTGGTGGAGTTAAGCAGGGAGAGACCATATGTGGTGTTTTTAGGGATTCCATTTAATGGGTAATAGCCTTTCTTCTTTTAACATTCTGGTAATAGCCTTTCTTCTTTCTTCTTTTAACAATTTTTACACTCAAAACAGCTCTGGAGAAATCCATTATTACCCTTGCTCTTTGAATTTGGATTTTGCTATATACCATCCTCAGTCTTAATGATTGTAGCAATTTGTCACTTCTAGTGATTCACATAGCAAATCCCGGATTCAGAGGTAGCAACACTGCAACTCTGTCCTATCTTGAATGGAAATATTTTTTTATTTGGTTTCTCAGCAGCCACCATTGAGTTATGCTTCTTTAAGAGTAAAAAAAAAAAATCCACCCACAAAATATTTTGGATTCCCATAGATTCTGTGCAGATGTCCAGTGGGAGAGGATAGGCTGTTCTGCATCCAGAGAGACGATGGATTGAGCCTCTGCCTTGAATGATTCACCGAGGCCTGGCGTTCAAGCCTGACACAGTAGAAGCCATTTCACTCTTTCCCTTTCTTTGTGACCAACATGCCGATACATTTACTGGGGCTATGTAGACAGTTTCTTTAGCACCAACAGCTTTTATTCCTGCTTCTACCCTGTTGTAAACCTAGAAACAAATATTTAGCTGGCTGTGGAGTGCCATCCATGTGAGTGCTCTCCCTCTGGGGCCTGCTGCGCACACAGCGCCTGGCTGGTCCTTTCCTGTCGCACAGGACATATAATATATTTACATCTCACGTAACCATAGAAACCTGTTGTGTCGGAGAAGACTTTATGATTTTGCTGCTCTCCGGAAAGAGATGAATAAAGCCACAGGGCAACCTGCCACCTCTTGTTTAGTTACTTTGTAATCGTTTAGCAATTAAGACTGCAGAACATATTTGCTATAATTTTCACATCTGTAGACATTTTACAGAGTATTGAATGTACACAAGGAAATAAAAACACTTGAGACATAAGAGTCCCATAGCCAACTCAAAAAAATTTTTGTATTACTTACACAATTTGTAGTTCATTAATTATTCTTAAAATGGCTGGCCTTGTTTTTTTGTCCTGAGGTAGGGTTTATTGTGCTGTCTATTCTGTATGGCTGTCGGAAGAACAGCAGTTTGGGAGTTGGGTAGAGTTGGATGTGAAACTGAGTATAAATCTGGCTGGGCTTCCTGGGGCAAGTGACTGCATCTTGAAGAGCTTTTGGGGACTTGTAACAAAACACTATAAAGTGGGAATAATAAAAATATATATTTTGATGGATCCTTGTAAAGAAAGCAATAATATAGGGGAAATACCTGGCATATAATAAAGGGTCACTGTTTGGCACTATTACCATTTCTCTTATTCTTAACTTTCCTGTCTTTTGGTTTAACACAAATGTACAACAAGTATATTCTAATGCTTGCAAAAGCTGGTTTTGTTTAGTACATATATGGTATGTCATACTTATCAAAGACTACAAATATTTATTAATTATAAAACCCCCAAAGGAGCTGAGGAATACAAATTCCATCTCTTTTCCAATTAATTCTGCACCTTTCCTTTTGGCACATACATGTGTTTCAGCGCTTTTAATAGAGCAAGGAACCCCCTTGGCTCTTTTGTCTGTGCCTTGGATTGTTTAAAGGAATTATCCACGATGTCATGGAAGCTCCAAATTAGTTGCTGGATGACTTGGGCGACCCCTGCTGGCTGGCTGCAAAATCAGGGGTGCCCACTAAGGCAAAAGCTACATCCTCATCCCCAGGAGCTATATAAATTAGCTGTGGACTGTGTGGGCGATGGGTGGTAGGGTATAATCATGGCTGTGAAGGCATGGAATTTATGCTTATTGTTATTATTTTCTTTATTATTGTTATTTAAATGTAGGTATTAGAATGCAGGGGACATTTCCCACTAGCTAATAACCATTTAAGTTGCATTTGGGGGCTTTCTCCACTTGACAACAGCTTTTCAAAATCTTGAGCTGTTAAACCCCCTACTGGGTTAATGTGGCAGAAAAAGACAAGAACGACACCAGTTAGGGGCTTTTTGTATAGTTCTATATCGAGAGTATCTGGAATAAAGGGGAAATGGATCCTTTTAGAAAATCCAATTAGAGAAAGAGGAAATATGAGAGGAAGAAAGGGAAAGAGGAGAGAGGAGAGAGGTGACGGGGGAGAGAAAATATGAATGAGAGCAGGTTCTACCCTGGAGGTCAAAGACCTTAGTATTAACAAAGGAAAATCCCATATTACTTTGACTTGTTTCAGAAAACCAGTGTTCCAGGATATCTCCTCAGGAAACAGACACTGCAAGTGAACAGGGAACTGTGTCCAAGCAGAGTTCAATTTAAACAATAAAAAATAGGACTCTGAAAACACATCACTGAGATGAGGGTGATCACAGACTTCCAGAGTTCCTCTGAGCGTGGGAGGCACCTTTCCTGAGACTCTTGTTTCTCTGTTTTCATTGCATGGCCTTACAAAGAATTAGGGTGTAGGGAGTATTTTAAAAGTTACCTATAGCTTTTAGGGACTACATATGACCCCGATATGAAAAAGATCTCCCCTCCTCACAGCCTTTGCCTCACCTTTGTTCATATCTTGACTTCCTCTGTTAAGTGGTCTCGTTATCCAGACCAAATAGACTCAGGCTGGTAGCTCTTGGTGACATTATTTGTATAGAAATTTCAAATGTATGCAATTTACCTAGATTTAAAGGATTATAAATAAAGCTACCACACAGCCTTTCCAGTTTTCCTCATTAAGGGGATCACATTGTATTAGAATATGCATTTTCATTATGACATATTAGGGCTGGTTGCATTTATAGAAATTCTGAGGGGCGTTCTCGCTGCATTCCATGGAGGTCTAGCTGCAGGACTCCCATTACAAGCAGACACAGTAGGAGTTTTGCTATAATAGTCTTATTATCCTAAACCCTCAACTTTTTCATTTGTTAAGGAGTGATTTGACATCTTAATATAACTTTTATTATCACAGTTGTAAGAAGCAACAATCTTTTAAAACACTGACTCAGGCAGGTCTCTCTTTAACAGCAAGTGAAAGGTGTGTCCATCTGCCATGCTCTACCTTCATGCTGCTCAAACCCCTCCGTGTATCAGTGCTCTTAAATGATATGGAGTGGGTACATCATACATACACTTGTTCCTCCCAGAGACCTTATTGGCTGTTATTGAATAGGGAAAATAGGTCTCCTGGTGATCTTTGAAGACTGCTTTCAGTTATAATAGCCTTTGTTTTCCACAAGAACACAGAATCAAATTAAAATGCATGTATAGCACATGGGAGCTGCTGCTCCTGCTGAGAGGGCTAAGGTAGTGGAACCACCTCTGTGAACTTTGAGCTTCTCAGTCCCTGAGTGCCTTTAGAAAACATGTCCCTGGATTGCGGGCAGCTTCTGAGTCCTTAGAACCAGGAATGGTGACATAGGAAGGCGTGGGTCTAAATTCATACTCACCTTGCTCCTGGGTCCAGTTCTGTTGCTTATGACTTTGGACAAGTGTCTGAACTCTAGATATGAAGATCTACCTCCTAGTATGCTACAAGGTTAATGTGAGAAAGGACTTAGCACTGCTTATTGGCTTTAGCCGTAATGAGTAACATATCTTGCCTCTATTGTCCTTTGAATTTGGAATTGGGAGCTCTAGGGGTAAAGATGGGCACTTGATTTTAGATGCCCAGTGGAAGTGCCTGAGCTGCTCGCCTGATGGAATGCTCTGTAGATACCCTCACGCAGCACATCCCTCTCACAACTCTTGCTGTAGCTGTCATAGCTAAAATGACATGACACACTCCCTTCACACATACACCCCTCAAGTAACATGCATGCGACATACCCACACACTCTGTGCCCTCACTACACATCCTGTAGATACCCCCATTCTCACACATTCACACACTCACTGCATGTATTTTGTGTACATGCAAACACATTCACATGGCCTAGGGTGGAGTGAGGCACCATGAGCCCTTCTATGGTCCCAGCCTGGATGAGGAAAGGATCAGCCAAGCCCTGTTCTGCCAAATACCATGGGATTGGGACCAGGCTCCAAGGGCACAACACCCTCCAGTGCTTCATAATTCTGGTCCCTAAACCCAACCCTGCTTTTAAAATGTTCTTTTTTGTACAATTTCCTTTTTTCTGGTCATCCCACAAGAAGAGCATTCAAAATTCTAGGAGGGAAATGGAATAAAGGCATTTTGCAGCGCTGTGAAAGCACTGTTTACTTGAAGGAGTATATTTTGTTTGTCCCATGACTGCTTTGGTTCTATTGGGAGGGGACTGGAGCTTACCCTGTGTGATGGGGTATTTCGTTGTGAAACTACATCAAGGCTGCACTGGCGGTGCATTGCTGCTGCTGTGGGGCATCTCCCAGGCACTGTGATGAACCCCCAGAGGACCTCAGAAGTCCCTGTGAAGCTGCCTGTACTGTACTCTGCCCTGTGCCGGGCCTTTCCAGGACAGAGACACGAGAAGGGCCTCCGCCTCAGCACCAGGCCATCTGACAAGCCAGCGAGATGAGGGATGCAAGTCTCCCAAATCTGGCAATTAGGAATTTGCTTGGAGGTGTACAGAGGAGGAAGAGGTCTCTCTTGGGCAGAGGCAGACGGTGACGCTTGCTAGAGGAGGAGACGTGGGGCTGGTTGGAGGGAGAGGCAAGAGTCCCACGTGTGCGGGCAGTCAGGGTGATGTAAACGGGAAGTGGCTCACTGCAAGGAGTGTTTGCAAAAGGGAGAGCGCTCTGGTTTGGAGAGAACAGACTTGTCTCAGGTAGGGGGTTAGAGAGGAGACCTGAGAAGTGGACTTAGTGCTGCAGGGCTGGTCTGGAAGACCTTTGTTTTTACTGTCCTCTGGGTGGAGATAGCATCTTCTGAGTTAGTGCCTACTCATTGGTTTGGGGATGATTATTCTGACAACGTGCATTTTATCTTAATGCCACCTGTGTCCTTTTGCTTTAACTGCTTTCCCCTCCCCAATACTGACTCTTTCACCCCTACCTGGCCCAAACTGAGGTCAGTTTTCCTTGACTCTTCCCAAGTGCTGCTGTCTCTGAGAGGACACAAGCATTTCCCTTGATTATGAGTCACCTCTCCTGCTCCACAGCTCCTGTGTCCTTTTGCACCAGACACTGCAGTTCCCGGCATAGGGAGGAGTCACCTCTGTCCACATTTCAGCTTCCCTCCTAGCCTGGGGCACAGACTCCTATGCTTTGTGGGCTCTCTGTTAGCATCTTGCCCTTTACAGGGCCTGTGGAATATCTGGGTGAATGAATATACTCTACTGGGAACCGTGTGTTTTGACATTGCAACGCCCTCCCTACCTTTGCTCCTCACAGAGCAGGAGCCCCACGTTCATGGATTTGCCCAGAGAGAAAATAATCTCTCGGTAGACGCAAATCTCTCCACCCCTCTGGCTGCCCACCCCGGGCACTGTTGCCCGGGATGGCGGCTCTGCATGCAAGGCCCACTTGGGGGAGTGGAAGGGGGCAGAGCAGCTCTACCCTTCATTTTTGAATGGAAGCCTAGCTGTAGGAAAGAATTCAAGAGAGGATAAGGATGCTTCCTTCCCTCCATGCCAAATATAGTTTCCTGGACCAGAAGAGAAACTGAGCCGAGGATACACTGCTTATCAAGTGAATTAAGAGGTCACCTGAATTCTGCCCATTAGCCTGAAGCTGATTTGCGCAGCAAGCAGGGCATATCCCAGTGCCAAGGACAGAGCATTACACTTCCCCCCCATACCCCCCCCCCCGCCAACACTCAGCTGGAAGCCTGGCTGGGGGTGAGGATAGGCTCCCATAAGGGGTGCAGAAAGGACCCATCAAGAGATAGCACCATTCTTGTCTGGCTAGGTGGCTTTGGGAACTTGGATCTGGAAGGTGGTTAAAGTAAAATCTTGCTCTTCGTGGGTCCTCTTTGAAGGTGCCCTGCAGCTTGCTGGACCTCTAGTCCTCTAGCTTCTGCGGTGTGGCAGCATCTGGTGTTGCACCTCCTTTGAGCAACACCTTTGAGCATCTGGTGTTGCACCTCCTCTGGCATCTCCAGGTGGTCTGGCTGGACGGACAGACATGAGCCCTGCTGGCTCTCCCCTCCCTGTGGACATCACCTCGTCACAGGAAACACTCTTGTACCCCTAGCCCTGGCAAACTCCAGTAAAACAAGAGCAGAGAACAGGAATGTCAATGTACTTGATTGCTGATGACTGATATTTCACTGCTTTACCTTGGTTGTACACATTATTTGTACAACAAATATTTCATACTGTACTCATAAAGGTTTTATAGTTTGTGGTCATTTTAGCCATCAGAGCTATTGTAAGAGTAATAGCTATAGTATTATTAAGCCCTTCTTGTCTTTACGAGATGAAGATCTATTTTCCTTATTTAAATTAGTATCTTCCTGTGGCTAAATTTTAATGACAGAAAGCAATTATAGCTCTAAACTCCAAATGAACTCAGAAACCAAAAACTTTCATGACTTTATTTCCAAAAGGGAATCAATAAACATCAGCTGAGCAGGGGCCAGAGTGGAACAGTGAGACTCTACTCAGCACGGGTCAGACTGTGGTCCCCCAGTTTCCCTCCCATCCTCAGGCTGTCCGTTTTTAAGCTTTCTGAGGGGTACCTCCATGGAGACACCTCCCACCAGGCTTGAGGAAGGAGAAGTCCCTTCATTCCTGGTCCAGAGGCTACAGTGGGGACTCATTATATTGGGGTAGCACTCTCCAAAGAACTCAGTTCTCTTTCTGGCTCACTCCTTTATTTGCGGCCCCTCTCTGACCCACAGTCTAAGTGGGGACCCTAGAATCCTGGTCCAGGTTCACCTGTACATACAGAGTTGAGGCAGAGTGCCTGAACCTTTAGGGGCTAGCATTCAAAGGTTTCATTTTGATATTCTGTTTCCTGTGCATATAGGTACACACACACACGTGAGCGAACGCATGCACGCACTTAGTTATCATACAGACTTCTCTAGTTTGACAGTGAAGCAGTGTTATCTTGGTAGGAAGACAGAGGGGTTTTTACATTTTCATTTGATTACCTTTGAACAAATTTAAATATTCACTGCAATTACATTTTACAATTAGAGGTAAAAGAAAGTAAACAAGACCAAGTGACCATACTATTATTCTTTTTCTAGCTTTTGGGGTGTTCACCCAGGAAAGCATGTACTGCTGCGAAATGTTGCTGTGGTTACAGTCTACTCAGTGCTTATAACAGCATGATGATAATTCTGGTTTCGCAGTCTACCTGTTATAAAGGAATCTACCTAGGCTCTCATTTGGTGCTAAAAGCAATGATTTGGTATAGTTGGGTGACCTCCTTTCCTGCAGGTGTCCAGGTGTGTATGTGTCTCATTCTCATACAATATACATGTGTGTTCACAGAATTGAAATCATTGTCCGTTGAATGCCTGCCAGGTTCTCCTGGGTGCTGGGCTTCCGTCATTTCATCACTTCTCTAACTGTCCCTGTTTCCCTAAAGGGAAGCAGAAGAGAGTTTTATTTGCCTGGGTGACACAGGAGTGACCAGGAAAGCTTGGATTCAAACCTGTATCTCCAGATCCCTGGGCTTTGGCTCTTCCTACTACAGCCCACAGCATCCATTTGGGTGAAATTGGGCTTTACTGATGTGGCAGAGTTGCCAAACCCATAGTATGGAGAGTTCCAGAGTCACTTCACAAGAGGAGGATTCCATTGCCAACACTTTCTTAGCAAAGGTTTCAAACATGAAAGACCAAG